AGTACCTATCGACTGCGGAAGAGCAAGAACAATCGCCCAATTATGGGTATCGGATTCTATTGACTTCCCTCTTTTGCTAGGGCGACCTTGGACATCCTCAAATTCAGTCGATATTATCGAACGGGACGGCACCTACCTCATATTCAACTACCCGGAACACAATGTGCAACTCGAACTCAAGGTCAGTACGGACTCGGACGACAACACTAATATTTCACAGACCATGGGCCTTACTACGGACAACGGACTTAGCGAAAATCGCGAACGCGCCGGGCCGGAACGTCACCGGTGGCGTGAGAAGCCGCCGCAAGACGCGCCTCACGTGCTTGCCACGCGACTACCGGTCATGGAGGAATGCGACTCTCGATCTTATCTCTCAGCAACACCGCCACCCCGACGCCCGACGACCGACACCGACACCGACACCGACACCGACAATCTTTTGGACAACATCGCCACTCCTTCAAACTCGCAACTCGCTCGCACCCAGTCAAGAGGCAATTCCCTGGACCTCGATTACGACGAATGCCAACGCGTTCAGGCGTGTATTGACGCGGCCATCCGGCCGGGTCAAGGTACGCCTCATGCTCGTTCGGATTCTCCGGATCTCGCCGCCGTTACTGACCATCAGCAATTCCTTCTCAGTCTAGGAGATCCTTATCACGCCCGCCTCTTCACTCGACCACTGCGCGGTGGGGAATGGACGCCCCTCGAAGACTCGATCGCCCATCTCCCAACGGGGATGCGCAGGCTACTCGGTACGTACGGCACTTTCGAAGTAACACTCACCACCTCAGACAATAGGCGGACGCGTGTCCTCGTCACCTTGGCGCACCCTCGAACGGCTCCCGAACACACGCCCTCGCCGGATTTGGCCCGACTCCATCAAGAACCCACCGATATAGATCACCGGCACGAACTCGACTTACCTCATGAAGCCTCATCCGGCAGGATCGACTCACGCGAACATCTTCAAGCACCCGGCCCATCCGACAACAGCGATCCTCTCCATCTTTCGTCTTCCCCTCTCGACCTCCCCCATGCTCACCGCGGCAGAATCGTCGAACTCGACGATGCCGGTGAGTACATCGGCAGCACGCAAACGTTATCCGACTCAAACATCTCTAGGCACCCGGCGCGTCCATTGCTCCATAGGACAATAGCTGGCAGATCGCCGCCAGCGGGCGCCTCGATTCTCGAACCAACGATCTCTACCACCACCAGCGACACCAGCGAGCCCCCACCAGTCGAAGCCTACCATGAACGCCACCCCGACTCGCGAACCGAAGAGATGCCCGCTACGCCTAGGTCTCGGCTTTGCGAGCGCGGACGATCGTCGCCGGTACGTACCGTTGCAGAATCTTCGAGGACATCGGTGATTTACGATGTTTCCTTGAAGATTCAGTCGTTAGGTATGTGCCGGGCGAAGATACGGAGCCGCTCGCAGCGAGACCGATGGGTAGAAACCCCGAACCTCGTACGCTCGACTCAAGACCCCGGACGACTTGCCGAGCACCTCAACGCGGCCGCCCTGTTTCTAGAAGAAGTACACCCGCCTGACGGATCGGACGCGGTACTGTACATCATCGTTGCACCCTCTCCCTACGCTAACGAACCAGACGACTCTCCAGCCGACGGTAGCGGAACAAATACACCGGATCGACTACAGGACGTACCTCCCGAAGATCCCCGCAGATGGCCGCCGTCCTTTCGACGCTCCGACCAGATGCCGCACTCCCCTTGCGAGCGGGACACGGGGTTACCACCAGACGGACCTAGCGAGGATATTAGAAGCACGGAGGACGCGATAACGAGGTATACCCGGTACCTCATATCACGTACTCCGCAGGCTAATCCGAGCGATGTTCCTTTCCTGCAGCACGTTCGGTACCGCTCTGCCGAGATTGGAAGCCGTCCGTTCGCGACACGACCAAACGGAGACGAGGCGTCGACATCGCGAAACCTCACGCACCACCCAGACAATACCGCGGACGACTCCCGAAGGCAAGATACCCACTTCGACTCCCGAACCAGGGCGCTGCGCAGGACGATCGGTGAGTTCGCTCCATACCATCTGAACCAGTCGGCGCGAGGCAAGGCTTACCCAGACGCAATCCAGGCATACTCCGACTCTCGACGAGAAAGGACGGCCCCACTCGAAGGCAAGACTGTGGAATCGCCGCTTGTCAAGCTCGCTATGCTATCCTACGGCCTTCCTCGGCAACCCATACGACTCACTCACGGAACCAGCGGTCCAGGCTCTCACGACGAGCATAAAAGCTCAGGTGAGTGCCTGCACACCCAAGTTACAAGAAACACTCGCTTACCCTTCGCTAGTCTATCAAACTGCACGCCTCACTCGAATCCGCCCCCTATGTCTCATGCGCAACCCAAGATTCCGACGACGAACCTCACGCTCGATGCGTACCCGTCTCCGCCTCAAGAAACGACTTCTCAACTGGATTCTTCGCCCTCGACGACTCTCTCGCAACGGCCCACACCCGGCTCCAACGCGACAGTCAACGGACCGCTCGATATAGGACTCAAGGACAATATGATGTACGCTACTCGTACCCCCCTCTCTGACGCTGAACTTACAGAAATTCTTCGGTTCGGCAGAGAGGAGGGCGGCTGGACTCGCCTTCCGGACCCGACTTCCCCTTCGCCGGCGACGATCTATGCTCCGCAGCCCCGCCCTGCTACGAACCCCGACACCTCGTCGAACACGCTACACGCCAACTCTATACAATTCCCGAGCACACCGCACCCACTCACCGGACGCGTCCTCGACGACGAAGACTATCGGCCCATCCGTCGCGGAGGCCGAAGGAACAAGCGAAGATGTCGACTT